TGATCCCCATTACTAAAAATAAGTGGTAAGAAACTGCCAACAAATCAAGAGTTTGTTGCAAAATCTCTGGGTTGTTGATTTTGTTTTTTCAAATGGACAATATTGCTTACAACCACAAGGAAAGGCACAAATAGTACCACAGAAGAGGCTAGCGGAAGAATACAATTGGCTTGTTACAACCTAGTCAGAGCCACAGGATATAGATTAGAACTCAAAGGTATTTAGCTTCAGAGTTTCCTGTGATGGAGAGATCATAATATAAGAAGATTAGAATATTAATAGGTTTAGTAATCTTGCCAGCAAATGCTGATTGACATTTTTCAATACTGCAACTTTGCCTAAGTTAGGTTTTTTTTTTTTTACACTAATTATAGTCAAGAAGGGAACAAATAATCCTTTGACATTTGGAAGAAGCTTGAAAGTTGAACTGGCTTTTAGTTTAAAATGCAGACCACAAAGGACTGTGAAAGACAAAGAACAATGATGACATTTCAGTTTCTTTTCAGAAGATTGTCATCCAGCCAAATGATACTGTGTGTTTGCACATGAGTGAACAGGTATGTTGCCACAGAATGATGGGGTTTACATATTGGACAATGAGGATTATATTCATTTTATAAATAAATACAAAATAATGGGTTGGGTTTTTTTTTTTTTGAATAATCTGCGATTGGCTGGGTTTTTACATAAATCATAAACCATGGTTAAAAAATCATTATGATTGACTCCTAAGCCAGAAAAAATTGAACTACATTGTAAATTAGCAGTACCATGAAGCCAGTCAGTGTGTGCATGTGTGTAGTAGAAGGTAACATGCCATAATGGAGTCTTGAATTAGTAGATGAACGAAGGCAAAATCTGGAGTTATACAAACCCATGAATCAATGAATGGCATTTGGTGGTCTTGCAATGAATTTGGGGAATGTACTTTTTAGAATTGTTCATGTTGGCCTGAGGAAAGATGGTTGGGCTTACACAATGTCTTTTTTCAGAGTTGAGAGGAACATAAAAAGGAAAAAGATCATCATCAACATTCTTAGCAGCAAATTCTTGTCCTTGAAGTTTGAAAAACAAGGTTGTTGTTCCCTAAGGAATGTATACATATGGCATAATGGTTGTCAACAACAGCAACATTTTTGCGCAATCCAACTTTTGTTTCCTCCAAGGCAGGAGATGATTACAGAAAGATTAGGTGACAGAAGACAAATATGAGCTGTCTCTCTTCAACTTCTTCCTTGGGTCAGAGTGTGACTATAATGTCCTTCCCAAATTGACTGCTACTGAAATTATCATTGTGACTTCACATCTTCTCAGTTGTGTGAATTGCAGTTGAACTCAGCCAGTGACAGTACCATTATGCATAGTTGCCAAAATTTTAATTTTCCTATCATCTTAGCAGAGCAGTAGCTTTCTTTACTGTAGGAAAAGTTTTCCCTTGTAGATGTCTATGGAGATTTCAGTCATCCAGGTCATGGTTGTCCCAAAGGTGTTTTTTCAAGAGGCAACTGGACTTTCTGTTTTTTCTTTGAAGCCATTTCGCTTCTCATCCAAGAAGCTTCTTCAGCTCTGATTGGATGGTGGGGAATGGAAGGGTGAGGAATGGAAGGACCCACCATGCAGTCAGAGCTGAAGAAGCTTCTTGGATGAGAAGTGAAACATCTTCAAAGAAAAATCAGAAAATCTAGTTGCCTCTTGGAAAAGCAACTTTGGGTCTGTCTTGTAGAATGCAGATGCTTCCCAGAAAATATCTTAGCATCATTCAGTACAAGCCCATAGTACTAATCTCTGTCTCGGCCTCCGGTAGTCCGCGCTCACCAAACCACGAGACACACTGGGATTCAGCAAGGTAACTCGGTTTATTAAGTGACAATGGCTTTTCCAGGAAACCGGAATGCAAAAAACAAGTCAAAAACGCAGCTATCAGTTGCTCCCAGCGGCACTTTTTATAGCGCAAGCCAAAGCCGGGCAGCTGGGGCGTGTTTAAAATACCCGCTGCTCACTTCCGGGCACACACTTCTGATGTCATCTTCGCCTCGTCTTCTCGGCCGTCCTTCGCTGGCGTTGCCGTTGCTTGCCTGCCGCGCCTTCCAGGCACCCCTCACGAACCCCGCTAAGCACCCGTGCGGCATATGTTCCTAGTCGCAACCTTAAATCCCTTCACCATCACCCTGTACCCCATCCGTGCCCGCACCCCCCCCCCGGGCGGCTGCTGTCTTTTGCCGTTCAATGGACATGGTGTCGAGTGCTGCTTGACACTCGACAGGCGGCTCCCCCTACCAGGTCTCCGCCTAGGGGAGACAGGAAAAGAAACACATGTTATCGGTTACGTTTTGGTTTCGGTTGTGGTTTTTGAGGGTTATGCCTATGATATCTCTTTAACAACCATGGAGCGTTTATATCGGTTAGGGGAACCCAGGATGCGTCTGAATTGGGATACCCCTTCCACCTAACTAAATACTGCAAACATCCTCTATGGTACCTGGAGTCGACAATGTCATCGATTTCGTAATGCGACCCTTTTACTGGTCCCGGGGCCTCTTGGGATACAGAAGGGTGGCTGACTGGTTTGAGTAGACTGGAATGAAACACTGGGTGGATTTTCCCTAATAAGGGTGGTAGTTTCAACTTGACCGTTACTGGGTTTATGATTTTTAGTATGGGGAAAGGACCTATATATTTGGGGCCTAGCTTTCGGCTTGGTAGGCGTAAACGTAGGTATTTAGTTGAGAGGTATACCTGGTCTCCGGCTCTAAACGGTGGACAGGTAGTTTGTTTCTTATCTGCTTGTTGTTTATATTCTTGTGACGCCTTGTCTAGGGCTTCCTTCACTTGTGACCATGTTTTCTGTACATTATAGGACCAGTCCTGAGGGGTCATAGCTATCGAAGTGTGGGGTTCCAACTCGGGGATGGCTGTGAATTCCCGCCCCATAACAACCTGGAAGGGAATGTACCCTGTACTATGGTGGACTGAATTGGTATTAGCAGCTTCAGCAAAGGGTAACAGATCCGCCCAGTTGTTTTGCTGATACGACACGTAAGAGCGTAGGTAACGCTCCACCATAGCGTTAGCTCTTTCTGCGGCACCATTGGTGCTGGGATGGTAGGCTGAGCTTAATCCTTGAGTGGCTCCGATGTCATGGAGAAAACCCCTCCAAAACCTGGCCGTGAACTGCACCCCTCTATCTGATATAATCCGCCTTGGTACCCCATGTAGACGGTAGACATGTTGTAGAAAGAGTTTCACTAATTGTCGTGCTGAGGGTAGGGTAGTCCCTTACAAGGGACGAAATGCGCTTGTTTTGAAAAAAGATCCAGGACCGTCCATATCACGGTATAGCCTTTGCTGTTTGGGAGATCTACGATGAAGTCCATCGAGATCTCGTCCCATGGTCTAGTGGGTTCAGCTACTGACTGCAGCAGTCCTAAAGGCTTTCCGGGTCCTGGTCTGGAGAGAGCACAAGTATGACACTTGTGAACATAGTCTTCGATCTCCTTTTGCATTTTAGGCCACCAGAATTGTCGTCTGACCAAATGCAATGTTTTTAGGAAACCGAAATGTCCTGCGGTTTTCACATCATGGCATTGTTTCAAAACCTGCTGTCTCAATGCAGCGGGGACATATAACTTAGTTCCCCACCATGCTACCCCATTTCAGTGGGTCAGTATTGACCAATTTTTGAGTAGCCATTCATCGGACGCTGACGCTTTTTGGAACATAGGAAACCAGTCATCAGCTTGCCGGTTTCCGCCGGCACAGGTTTCCGTTTGCACTGACGGTATTAGAGCCTGTAAGGGGCTAACTCTCTTACTTCCATATTGCGGCATTCGGGACAGCGCATCGGCTAGGAACATTTTCCCTGCTAGTTTATACTTCAACGAGAACCGGAAACATTGGAAGTATTGGGCCCATCTCACTTGTTTCGGGGATAATTTTCGTGGTGTTTGGAGTGCTTCTAAATTTTTGTGGTCTGTCCAGACCTCGAATGGGTGCTTACCATCTTCCAATAAATGTCACCACAAGCAGAGTCCCCCGTCCTTCTTCTCACGGAAGAGTACTGGAGCAGCCAGACGTGAACGACTGGGGCGTATGAACCCTCGTGCTAGATTCTTGTCGATATATCGTCTTAACTCTTCCAATTCCCTTGGCGTCATCAAGTACATTCGCGGTTTTGGTAGTTTCGCCCCGGAGACTAATTCGATTCCACAATCGGTATCACGATGTGGTGGCAGTACATCGCTTTATTTCAGATAATCGTTTATTTCAGATTGGTAGGTTCATTAGAAGTTTAAGCACTGGAATATATTTGCATGAACTGTCAGAGCAGGATAATTGTAGAGAATGTACAAGTGCTAAGAATCTAATTGGATTGTTTTAGGTAATTATGGACTCAGTTTAACTATCTATTAATTTCCCTCACCTTTTTGTAATGATACCTGATTTATATTATTTCACTTTCTTCAAAATATAGTAATCCAGTTCTGTTACAATTAGATTCTTCTACTTCTATTCAGTGGATACTTAGATAACTGCCTCAATGACAGCACTTTCTTTCTCTCATAGGTATTTTAAGAAGCAATCTGACAGATGTGTACACACATACACAAATCTAGAGGTTTCCAATCCCTGAGAAAATGACAGGTTTAGTTTTAAGGCCAAGATGGCCTTTTGAGCATGTATCAATATTAAAATGAGTCAATAGCAACCAGGCAGTTTATCAAGGAATTCTCTGCATAGTTTACCAGAAAGGAAGTCACTTGTAAACTTTCTATATTTAAAGGAGTTAGATAAACCCTAATGTCATAAAACAGAACTTGAAAACTGTGATATTCATCCATGTAAAGAAAAGCTGCCTTTCACTAGAGATTTTTGCAATTGAAGTAAAGCAAATTTTGTTTGTTTGAGAGGTTGACCCATCTCATCAGACTGTTTTGAACCTTTTCTGCATGAACTTTCAAAATTGCCTACACAGCTCCCTGAAAAATTACCTTGGGTCCATGACATGCGAGATGTTATTTATTTATTTATTTTCTATAGCTGCCCATCTCAACAAATGACTCTGGGCAGCACATAACATAAACTGTAAAAACAATTAAAAACAATTAATACAATTTGTAAGGAGAGCAACAAGCAAGTTTGTGAAATCACATCTCTTTCTATTTTCTCCCTGAATTATGTGCAAAAAATAGAATGGTTCTTCAGCACTCAGTAATATCACAACACTATGGCCTACAGATGAAGCCACCAATTAATAGCATCAAGAATGTGGTGATGAATACACTGGATATGTAATAGAATTCCAGTTGCTACCTGACTCATCCAGAAACTTTAAAGATTAAGGACACTAGAACCTCCAATAATGGGCTTCCTAGATGGTTTTGCACCCAAGCATTTACCAGGGCCAACCTAGATAGGAGAATTAAAGAAAGCCAGGCAGCATACAAATTTAAAATAAAATAAACTATACAAGAAAGCTACATTTGATATTGCTTACATCGGCCCAATGTCTGATTTTTTCAACATAGACCATCCTGTTCTTGAATGGCTGGGTGGACTGGACATTAACATTTGAACTACTATAAATCCAGGTATTTGCATTACACTAAATAAATAAATTGGTATTGCTGTTATAAAGGTGCATGAAATTTTATAGGTCTATTGATCTTTTCCCACTGAATTAAGAAAAACAAATATTTAATAGAACACAAAGTATCAATCAAATGTAATTATTTTTGAATACTCCCTATGCCTAGCAGATTAAAAGAAAATTTTACTGACAGTTTTCTCACATGGAAACAATATCTAAATTAGAATAAACTTGTCTGAGAAAGATAACATTCCCAAATAAGAGGGGAAAACCAATAGCAGACAGTGGTATAATATTATACTGTAGAAAAAACCACTTAAAAGCATATATGATGTTATACATAACACCCAATGGTCCCAGATTACTTTTTTAAACAATGGAGTAGTGTTTATCATTATTTTCCAAGTCCTGGGTTGATGATTCATTTGCTATATAAGACTTTCCTTTAAATAATCATTTACAGCATTTCATATTTATCTTTTCTTCGATTACTTTGGAATAAAGGGGAAACATCACTGTTTCTGAGCTAAAAACTACAGAAGATAAATACAATGCTCACTTTTATTAACTTGGAACAACAATAATAAAAGGGTTTCTTTTACTAATTATCCTATAACATAAGTGAAATAAACTCATAACAGTCCACTATTAATTATTTGCATGTGGGTTCAAGTAAAATCAGTGTGAAAGATTATTAATAGTTTTTCATACTGATTTCAATGAGATTTAAGTGCACCTTTATTTGTTTTATGAAATGTAGAGATCACCTGATTCCAGATGACTATGGGCAGCTTAGAATTTTAAAAGAAAGAGGAAAAAATAAAAACATAAAACACAGTAAAAGAACTATGCATGTAGAAGGGGAAAAACCAATACAAAGAAAAACAGCCAATAGGCTCAATACCCACTCTTCCTCAAGGTCTGACAGGTTTTCATAGACGTTTCAAATATCATCAGAATGGAGCCGTATGCATCCCTAGGATAGTGGTGTTCCAGAGGACAGCCATTGCAATAGAGAAGGGCCACTTCTGGGATCCCACCAGATGCTTTTAAATCAACTATTAACTGAGAGCTCCTAGACATGACAACAAAAGCATCCATTCTTTTCCTTCTTTATGTCAGCATCAGGATGGTTTGATAGCATATGACATTTCCTTATTCCCACTGAAGCACCAAAGAATTAGCACGAATGGCATGACTGAAATGGAAAATATCTGGAACTGGAAGATTCTTTCACTCATATGCTGGAAATATTTTTAATGGGAACCATTCAAGAATCTCTGAAATGCATGTTGTGTTGTTGTTACCCACAATTTCTATGCTATTGTGGACATGTCTCAGAGTGGAGGCAGTGAACTTTTGATCATAATAAAAAGTCGTCCATATTAGCTAGTTGTTTTTAAGAATCTGGGTGCTGGAATAGCTATATACTGAACAGCAGAGAATTCTGGCATCTAAGTACTATTTTGATATGGCTGTTTTACTTAATTTCTCATTTATTGATTTATCACATTTTCACTCTCTTTTCATGATCTCTGTAACATTCCCAAAGTGTGTATCTAAAAATACATATGCATATTCCTTCTCCATATGTTAAGTTAATATTTTAGTTAATAGTAAGTGTAATAATTCTACAATGCAAATTGTAACTGTAAAGTCACACGGTGCCAAAACAAAAACATACCCAAAACTTCTGTCTCTAACTTGAGAACTAGCTGGAGTGGATAGTAATCAAGAGCCAGAGAAATTAATACAGACATATTTATTATTTCTAGAAATACAGAGCATCCTTCAAGGTATATGTAAAATATCTGCATGTTTAAGACATAAAACCTTTTGTTTCTGTGTGTTGCATTGCAAAGAAGCCACACAAACCACTGTAAAGAAGTGAGTAGTAGAAGTGAGCAGGCGGCTATTTAAATAGTTTTCCAATGCAAAGAAGCCATGTAGGAGCCTTAGGGAAAAACCTGAACCAACTAATCTGTCATCTCTCCTTCCAGAACAACAAGTGCCTTGGAGTCTGAGCAATATATTGGCCTAGTAGATGAAGCTCCCAGAGGGGGGAGGGGGGGATAGGTTGAAGAGGGGCAGTAGATCTGTGGCAAACCATATATGCTTCAAGCATTTCTCCAGTTATTTTTCTTCAAATAAGGAACATTTTATTTGCTAAAGCATCTCAGGGAACAGTGAAGCTGAGATGTTAAAAAGTTCCTACCTGTCCAAATAGAAACTCATAAGCTAGAAGAACTTCCCATGAGGCAGCTTCATACATTCACATTTTCAAGCAAAATCTGAAAAGGGGGGAGTCAGGTGGACACATTTTTGTCTCCTATTACCCACACTATCTGAATTATCTGAATTCAAATTACTCTGGTAAAGAGTACCTGGAATTTCCTGGCAGTAGACTTAATGGGCTTTTAAATACTAAATTGTAGGATACTGTAAACTTGCCCAGTTCATCTCTTCCCTCTGGCCACGAAGTCTGATCTCCTTGTACCTTCTTATGCAAATAAAGCACCCTTTTACCCAAGCCTATAGATCAAGCAAACATTTTCAGTGGGCGAAGTATATTTGACTAAATTAAGGGTAGTTTTTACTGCATCCATCAAAAAGAAATGATAACAATGGTCTTAATCGGTCTGTAAAAGATGCACACATATTATGCTTGTTGGAAAAGACAGATCAGTAGTAAGAACCAAAGAGATAACAATATATTTAAGACCTTGTAAACCACTGTTGTAAACCACATAAAAGAGAGATCAACACTTAACAAGGCTCAACCACTGTTGAATTCAGCACCTGAATTCCCATTTGCAAAGACATTTAGTTTTACTGTTTTTCTTGTTGTTGAAGAGAAAATAAAAAGGCCCCAACCCAATGGAGCATTATAGTGCTCTTAAATCCAAATTTAAAAGACTCTACAGGAGAACACGCTACAACTCACTTACTTTTAGAATTCTCTGCCATTAAGATGGCTACTGGCTTCAATTAGTTTTAAATGAAAGAGAACAAATTCATGGGGAAGGGTATGTGGAATAGTTGTTCTGTTGCCTCACATAGCCTTGTGCTATCAGCTAAGAATCAAACTCAGATACTCCAATTTTGATGGAATTTTTTTTAAAAAGCTTTCCTAACAATGTGCAGGCTTCTTGCCCTTTGTGCTAGCAATTCTGCAGCCTCTTCCTTGTTATCTCGAACTGGCTCTGTGTGCTTCGAACATCACTGTATAGCGGTTTAGACAAATGTTCACTCTGGGATGTAGTCCCTGAACGAATTGAAGCTGAGACTCCTGCCTGCTGAAGTTAGACTTGAATTGGCATGAATTTTGGGAATTTTTTCCATTAACTTAGATGATGCGCGCCTCTTGAAGGACCCTGGGGAAAAATGCCCTTGCTTCATCAGCTCACCATATAAGGTGTTGAAGACCACAACAGTCTCTTCATAGCTGTCCCTGGTAGAGATCTCATAGAAAGGATGCTTCAAAGCCTTGGAGAGATTTTCTCCATCCTCAAAGGTTACCATTCGGTCAAACTGCAGGTCCTTCTTGTTTCCAACAATCACAACTGGCGGTTCTCCACTGCCACTGTTCCGCTTTGGGCTTGAATGGATATGGTTGATGAGAAAGCACAGCCTCATCACCTCATCAAAGCTACACCTGTCAGTGACAGAATAAACTACAGCAAATCCATCTCCCCACTTTATCTTTTCTTCAATTTGGAGAGAATCTTCCTCCTAGTCCAGAAAGAGAAAACACAGATCAGTATAAAACTGGCACTTTCTCTAAAGGAAAATCAGAAATCCTCTACATAACTGATTGTGACAAATAGTAGTTGTACAAAGAAAGTCAGACAGCTCCCAGAAGGGAAACTGACAAGGTCAGACATTCAGGGATAATAAAAGTTGGAAAGCAGGCGAAGGAAGGGTATCCCTGTAAGAGAGTACCCAACCTTTCCTCCACTTATTGTGACTCTCTTACAAACTGTCTTCCTTCATAGGGTTTAGTACATTTAGGCGCCTACCATTAGCTGCACTCACTTTGCCCCCATCCACCCACCCAGGGTAATTCACAGCCAGCTTTCCTCCTCCGGTGCCTCTGCCCCTGCGATTCTCCACCACGCCTTGGCCCTCCACCCCCAGCCTTTTGTCCTGGCATGGTTTGACCCAGATGTTTGGCTCCATGGGACCAGATGCTTCCAGCCAATCGGACAAGCCTCACACCTGCTTTCACTCCTCCTGTGCAGCGTGTGAGTGGTGGTGGAGGGCAATTATGAGGAGTAGGGGACTAGCAGCCTTTCTGGCAAGCCTTACAGCTGCTTTTCACTCACAAAAAGCAGCTGTGAGGCTTGCCAGAAAGGTTGCTAGCCCCCCCTCGCAATTTTCCCCCTCCACCACTTGTGTGCTGTGCAGGGGGAGTGAAAAGCAACTGCAAGGCTTGCCTGATTGCCTGGAAGCTTCTTCTCCCTTGGAGCCAAACACCCAGATCAAACCGTGTCTCGGCCAATGGGCCAGGACAAAAGACTGGGGGAGGAGGGCCAGGGTACCACTGGCAGTGGAGAATGGGGCAGAGGCACTGGAGGAAAGCTGGCTGTGAATTGCTTGAGTGGGTAGATGGGACTGAAGTGGGCATGGCTAATTGTAGGCGCCTAAACATCCCATTCCATCCTTCACAGGCTTCTCCCTCAGTCTACATTGTCTGTGTTTGTCTATTGGGGAAAGCAGGATTGGGTACATACATAGTGGAATATGGACAAGTGCAAGAAAGGGAGTACCACTACTTCCCACTCAATTCTCTAAAGCAGAATGTGTGTTCTCTAAAAATATAGTCTTCATTTAGGCTACTCCCTTTCATTTCCCTCCCAGTTTGAGGTTTTTCAGAAGAGATGGGACAACCATTTGTTTGAAATGGTATAGGTCTTCTGCTTGAGCAGGGGGTTGGACTAGTAGACCTCCAAGGCCCCTTCCAACCCTGTTATTCTGTTTTCCCCTCTAACACTCAGTTTGGAGGAATTACTGAACATATTAGATTGGCCATTTGGTAGAGGACAGTACATTTTTAAAACTTTTTTTTTCAGTTCTCCAGATTTTGCCATTTTCCCTAACCGAGTGATTCCTCATAGTACCATTAGAAGAGGCTTCAAGTGAAGTGGATGAACATTAAACAACAGAGCAAATTTATCCAGCACCCTTCCCATTATACATCCATTATATTCAAAATACCAAACTTCTTTTTGGCATTCGTACAATGCCATTTGGTTAATGCTTAGATTGCTAATACTTTGAAAGTGAGTTTGATTATTAATAAATCGTAGCATTTCCTAAATGTGGTTCATGACTCAGGACCAGTCTTCATTAAATGAATAGAAAAGCCCCCCAGTGCTTGGAAAATATTCAAAACTTGTTTTCTATGTCCTTTACTACATTATTGCCAACACCCTAATCAGAGAGGAAACTGACAATCAATCAGTCTGACCCTTTAAAAGCTTACTTTGCATGTGCAAAGGTGATCTATTTTTTTATGCACAAAGAGGAAAAAAAGGAATAAAAAATGGGCTTCCAGATAAATAAAACTGAGAAATCCGAGTATATACTGAAGGATTCTATTAGAACCTAACTGCTTAACAGTATCTGCTACCTATCATAGAAGTAACTGAATGAATATTTAATTCAAATTACATATATCTGACCTGTTACTTTAAGGGTTACCGTATTTCTGTTGCCAAAATGGTAGGGCTGGCTTAATTCAGAATAAGAAAAAATGTTCCCTTGAAATACAGTACAGCATTAAAAAATGACCACCTAGGAACTAATATTGCATGATTTGATTTGGTTCTTTAGAGCTAATGTCATTCTAAACTGTAGTAATTAATACCCTCAGCACCTGTGCCAGAGGGCCTTTAGGGCATCCTAACAAGGAACTACCAATTGATCAAAGCGCAGAGAGGCAACCTGCGTAGCCACAACAAGCTTCACTGATGTTTACAAATTCTTATTATATTTTGCCTCTCTGTGTATTCCAGATTTGGAAATTGCAGTAAGAACTCAATAAGGCAAGTAGCCTTCATTTTTTCCATTTTCCTTTTCACAGACAGGCATTCTCTAGCTATTCTGGCTAGTTGTTCCATCTTGTTGGAAATCAAAAAATAAAATAAAATTTAAAAATGTGATTTTTTTTTTTAGTCATATTACTGTTGAAATGTTTGTTTGTTTTATTAAATTTGTATACCGCCCTACTCCCGAAGGACTCAGGGTGGTGAACAGGCACAGGATAAAATACAGAAGTACAAAAGTTAGAAACAATTTAAAACCAAATTAAATAATTTAGCCCACGATAATTTAAAATCCCAATAATTTAAAAACAAATTAAAATTTCAGTTTAAAAATTTAAAAGAAAGGGGAGAAAAATTAGGCCAGGCCGGCTTGCTGAAATAAGAGGGTCTTAAGAGCACGGCGGAAAGTGTGCAGATCTGGGATCCTCCGTATCTCCGGGGGGAGCGCGTTCCAGATAGTTGGTGCCCCCACAGAGAAGGCCCTCCCCCGGGGGCCGCCAGTCGACACTGCTTGGCTGACAGCACCCGGAGGAGCCCCTCTCTATGAGAGCGTACCAGCCGGTGGGAGGCTGTTTGTGGTAGTAGGTGGTCCCGTAAGTAACCAGGTCCTAAGCCATGGCGCGCTCTAAAGGTGATAACCAAAACCTTGAAGCGCACATGGAAGACCACTGGGAGCCAGTGCAGCTCGCGCAGGAGAGGTGTCACACGGGAGTGCCATGTTGCCCATAACCACCCGCGCGGCCGCACTCTGCGCCAGTTGGAGCCTCCGGGTGCTCCTCAAGGGGAGCCCCATGTAGAGAGCATTACAATAGTCCAGGTGGGAGGTGACGAGGGCATGAGTGACTGTGTGTAGGGAGTCCCGATCCAGAAAGGGACGCAACTGGCGAATCAGGCGAACCTGATGAAAAATCCTCCCGGTCGCGGCCGTCAAGTGCTCTTCTAAAGACAGCCGTGAATCCAGGAGGACACCCAAGTTGCGAGCCCTCTCCGTGGGGGCCAGCGATTCGCCCCCAATAGCCAGCGATGGCATCAACTGACTATATCGGGACGTCGGAAACCACAGCCACTCGGTCTTGGATGGGTTGAGCCTGAGCCTGTTCCTCCCCATCCAGATCCGCATGGCCTCCAGGCACTGGGACATCACTTCAAGGGCATCGTTGGGGTGGTCCGGGGTGGAGATGTACAACTGAGTATCATCAGTGTACTGATGGTACTTCACCCCGAAACCACGGATGATCTCGCCCAGCGGCTTTACATAAATGTTGAACAGAAGGGGCGAGAGGACCGATCCTTGTGGCACTCACATATGAGGGGCCTCGGGGTCGACCACTGCCCCCCTGCCAACACAGACTGCAACTGGTCAGAGAGAAAGGAGGAGAACCACCATAGTACAGTGCCCCCCACCCCTAACTCTTCCAGCGGGTGCAGCATGATACCATGGTCGATGGTATCAAAAGCCGCTGAGAGATCTAATAGGACCAGGACAGAGGAGCAACCCCTGTCCCGAGCCCTCCAGAGATCATCGACCAATGCGACCAATGCCGTTTCCGTGCTGTACCCAGGCCTGAAGCCCGACTGGAACGGATCCAGATACGTCGTTTCATCCAGGTACTGGAGGAGCTGTCGCGCAACCACACTCTCAACAACCTTCCCATCTTCTAATCTTTGCAAAGATACTGCTTTTTTTCTGTCACATGAACTGTTTTACTTCTAAATCGATTCTAATTTCTTACACACAGCCTTACACCACATCTTTTGCATTCCTATTTCTTCTTTCTCTAAGGATCTGAATGTCCTGTGATTTTTGGAATTTGTTCGTTTATCACATCTTACATGTTATTTCCCATCTCCTTACTCCATGATTTTATCATGGCTAAGCTTATGTCTGTAACCAAAACCATTATCTATAGGGAGAAAACTCATCTCATGGGGTTGCTATTGTTGTGGAAAAATAGGACGGAGTAATGGATATGCTGACTGTCTTGAGTTATTTGTAAAAAATAATAAAGGCGGGATATAAAGTGATAATCTTGGAGTTCGCTAGCATTTGTTTCTCTTCATACAAACTGCATGCATTTTAATAAAGCACATTATAGTTAATAACAATAAAACAACATATTAGGGACAAATGCATCTAAAATACCATGTATTACAAAAAATTATACATAACCCAAGTTACTTTTATATGTTGTTGTTTTTTATTTGTCACATAGTGTATTCATTTCTTATTCTTTAATGTTCAGAGGAAGAGTGATCCATACCTCCCTACCACAGGCCAAAGCTGCCTTTTGGCATTTTCAGTGTTCACTGCAGTACTTTTCCTTTTCTACAGGACCATTCCCCTCCCCCCCTTTTTTAACAATGAAGCCACTAAAACCATACCTGCCCCGCTGTGTCAAGAATTTCAAAATGAACCATGTCTCCATCTATGATTGCTGTGTGCCTGTAAATCATCTCTGTGGAACAGAAACATTGTGTGAGAAAGCAAATTTATAAATAAAGCTTTTTTTTATGCTACATGCAGTCTTTTGACAGTCTGATATCTCCAGAAGTGTTTAACAACCTTTCTTTGCTCCCATGTTATCTGAGACATGATAAGAATTTAGTCGAACACATCAGGTGGGCACCAAATGGGAGAAGGCTAATATGGAACACACATTTGGCCTTTAATAAGTCTTAGGGTTGTATATTTTTAGACATTTCTAACACTTCAGTGCAATAATCTTCAGTATATTTATAGTAAAAACATACAAAAATATAAATCATCAGATGATAAAGATTACCGGACAAAGAAGTGGTCTTTTTTTACCAGAGGTTGATTGTCTACTTAAACTAATGAGAGTTAGGAAGAGTTGCACAGACAGAACAATGTCATAATAAAAGCTTCTATCTTTATATTTTTTTAAAAAAAATACCTGACATGGCCTCCAGATGTCATCTAACAGTTTCCATTAAGTTATTTTAAATACATGACTCAACTCATATTAAATGTATTTAACTCATTTAGAGGTTTATTTAATTTAGTATAATTTATGTTTTGTCCTGGCCATGCTGCTATTATTAATATTAACATACCATTCAAAGGTCAAGTATAGTCCTCTGCCTAAAAGAACTGTATATCCTTATGCTGAATGAGAGAAGAACATAACATGGGAATACCATGGCTTGGAGGAGGCACTGGTGACATTCCTGAGAATTCACCAAAATGTAAGCACAAATAGTACTGGAGAAATACAACCACGGCATCATGTATATATATTTATGGAAATAACAGTTAAGACATAATTGAAGGAAGCTAAGTGGGAGGGGGGAGGAATGGGTAGCCACTGTTCACAAGGGACTAGGCTTAGAGCATAAAACATGCAAGACTGAATAAGGAAACATCTGGGAAAACATCCTGCGAGTGGTTTAATATGAAGGCATAACAGCAATAAAAGTGCATATAAATCCCTCTGGTATTCATAAGGAGGAGAAAAAAACAAAAGGAGGCTCCATCTTCTGGAAATGCATTCTGGAAATGCATAATATGGAGGAGATAAAGGAGACAGAGAAGTTTGTTAGGTGAGGATGGAGCACCAGTTCTAGGGCTCATCCTACCATCATTGGTGCACTATCATAGCAATGATAATGGGTAGAAATGTGACTGCAAAAACATAATGAGCTACTGAGCTGTCCTTTTACTTCAGTGAAGCAATTCTGCATTAAGCATGGAGAATCTGTGAAGGTATCAGAAATGTTTGCCATGGGCTTTAAAAGAAAGCATGTCAATAATGCTATAAAATGAGGCCCTGTCAGAACTCAGCAGGAGAAAAGCAGAAAGTTTACCTGCTTAAAAAAAAAAAAACATGCCTGGAAGCCATCTTACTTTCCAATCATTTTGTTTTTTATTGAATTCTCATCTCTACCTTCTGAGTTCCACGTGACCAAGCCACTACAAGCCAGATTCATTCATCTTGGCCCTAAAGGCATTCTTCTTTTTCTCTAGACAAAGAGGCTGGTACTGTACTTAACAGTGTGGAAAAGGAGGGGAACTGCTATATTCTGCCTAAGCATAATATCCACCTTTGGATTTATTCTTTACCTCCTAACTATTCATTACTACTAAAAAAAAAAAATGGAGAGAGATTTCAGATTCCATTCCTTCCCACCCATAGCTCCCTCCAAATAGTTAAATCTGTGATGTCTTAAAATATATGATGAAGATTTATTTGGAAATACATCTCTATCTCTTTAATATTCAGTGGGGTTTTACCACTCAGGGATTATATTCTTAGAGCTAGAAAAGAAAAGAAAAAAAAAGTGTTTAGGGTCCGTCCGTCCCCACGCCCCCCCTTGAGGCAAGGACAATTTCTTTTAAAAAACCAATGGAGACATGTTCAGTAATTATCCAGGAATTTATAGTTCACAAAATGTTGCTCTCCATCTAGAAAAGTTATCTATCAAAATAATCTCAAAATGTAGTAATTCCAGTCATGGATTTTGCCTTACTACTTCCATACAGTATAGTAATGTTTCTTGGGAGTGTTTCCAAAACTATAATTGCTAATTAAAGCACCTCCCTGAAGTTGTTCCAGTTTTCACAGCAAGCTTCTTTGCTGCTATATTTAAAATATCTGAACTTTTACTGTTACAAGCCTATATTCAAAGTAGTTATCTAAAGAACAGCTTTTACTTTTCTGAGGAATGCTTTCATGGTTCTAACAAAGCAAGGAAGTAAAATTGAAGAAAAAGTAGGGCACAATGAATATTAGTCTAATTTTCTATGAATTACTTTCAAGTTCACTGCAAAAATGAAAAAAAAAACATTATAAGTAGGTCGAAGACTGCTAGCCTGAAACCTAAATGAAAACATGTTCATCACAGCCTAAATGTGCAAAAAATCAGAGATAAAATAAGCACCATACAGCGTTAGATTTGTTGCATCACCCTTTATCAAATGAGATGTGGACCTGAGCCTACACAAATTTTTCAGGGAAGAAATTGCAACCACCAAAGAAAGCTGAGAAAATTCTAGGATATTTTGCAAGGCAATATTGTAATGAATCATTAGGTCTTGATAATATCACCTAAATAATTGTTTTTTTAAGAATTCACATTTGAAATTACTGCCCTTATAGCAACAATATGTAATTTGCTTTTCTAATTGGGGTTAGTGTCTGATGTCGCCAATGTTACACCTATTTTTTAAAAAAGGACCAAATGTAGATCCAGTAAATTATAGAATGAGAATGTTACCAGACAGATTTATGTCATATACTTGAATTTTCAAAAAAGTCTTGACAAAGTTTCTCATCAAAGTTTCCTAAGTTAGCTTCTCTGTTGTGCAATAAGAGGACCTATTTTATTATGAATTGCTAGCTGGTTAAAAAGCAGAAAGCAAAAGTTGTGAATACATGAACAACTTTCTTAGTGGAGGGAAGCAAGGGTGGAGTCCTTCAAAGATCTATATCGGGATTGATTTTTTTCAACAGTTCATAAATGATCCCTATTTAGAATAAGCAGTGAACTGGCCATGGTTTTAGATGATTCTACAAGAAAATGTGAAGAGCTTCAGAAGGGTCTTTTCAGTTGATGAATGATCAACCAAAACAACCAATGAAGAAGTTTAAATACAGTAAACATATAAAGTGAAGCACACTGGGGCAAAGCAAGATAACTGCACATATATAATGATGGAATATAATAGCAATAGCACTTAGACTTATATATTGCCCCATAGTGCTTTACAGCACTCTCTGGATGATTTACAATGTCAGCATATTGCCCCCAGCAATCTGGGTCCTCATTTTACTGACCTTGGAAGGATGGAAGGCTGAGTCAGCTTTGAGCCCTTCAGGATCAAACTCCAGACTATGGGTAGAGTTAGCCTGCAATACTGCATTCTAACCACTTCACCACCTGGACTCTTACAGTCTAAACTATTATATAGGAAAAAGAGTAGTTGAGAGTCAGGGAGTCATACATTTATATTATTATGGTTGGTCCCAGAGTCCCACGGTCAGCCAGTCTTTTACACTGGATTTGATATTTTTTTCCACCTATCAATTTTTTCCCAAGGATCTGGGGGGAGATGTTGTTTGATGTCACAGGATGTAAGCTGTTCCAACTAAAGCTGGCTTTTGCAATTAATTGATGGTAATTTTGTCAGTGCTGATGGTATTCAAGCGATGTTCCATTTGTTGTTATTGTTATAGATGGGGAGTCATAATAGATGATTCAATTAAGATGTTGACTCAATGTGTGGCAGCTGTGAAGAAGGCACATCCAAGCTAGGGATCATTAGGAAAAGAACTGAACATAAAACTGCCAACAGTATAATGGTTTTATAACAGATCTATGATATGACAATATTTGAAATACTGGGTACAGTTCTCATTGTGACATTTGAAACATATAATAGGGTGGAAAAAATGAAGAAGAGAGCAACCATAATGATCAGATAGCTCAAAACCTCCCTTAAAAGAAATGGTTAGGATATTTGGGGTTGAATTGGGTAAATTCATGGTAGATAAGTCTATCAAAGATTCTCCATCCTGAAGATTTAGAGTTGTCTTTGGATCTCCAAATACTACTATTAGGGAAACAATGGCAGGCGAAGAATATTGTCTCTACTTCAGAGTACTCTGGCTGGCAACTTAGCAAAACCAAATTGTGAATTAAAATAAGAGTCTCACCTGATCCAACAAGACAAGTTTTAAATTACAGCACTGCAATTCACCTGAACATCAACTAACTGGACCTATGAATATGTACTTTCTATAACAGCTTTCTCCAGTTGGTGCCTTTCAAATGAGTTGGATTCCTTTTCTCATGAGTCTAAGGCAAGGGGTTGATGGAGAATTGTCTTTTGACCTCTCTGAAGGACACCAAGTTTGCAGAAAGCTGTTCTAGGTTATGTGAGCTTGACCAATGAAGGTAAGATGGCAGCAGAGTCAATCATCATTGATAACCATTTGACAGTTAGTTTACTAGTTTCACTTATTTATTACTTATTTTATTACTTATTTTATTTCTTAATTCTTCTGCCTAAATATTTTTGATCTGAGATCCAATGTTAACAGCAACTGCCTTTGATCAATAAAATACAAATTAACACACTGATTTGACAGAGCAAGTAACTAAACTTACCTAGAGTAGGGTCATAATCACCAATAAATCGCTTAGTGATGAATCTTACTGTCAATGCTTCATTGGAAAAAGAAAAAATAACAATTAGCAGAGCAAATCAATATAGATATACAATAGTTTAGCTATTAATCAACTACAGATATCCACCTTATACACGAATCCACTTGTCATAGAAAAGATATATGTCATAGAAAAATTAAGGTAACAGTTTAAGACATTCAGATTGGCTTATACCCCCACCTAAAAATAGCAAAGTTTGAAGGGCATAAGAATGACAGGTTCTAGGTGAAGTGGCAGTTCATTTCTAGAATATAATGATTGTCCAAAATGCTTTTTTAAAACAAGGTATTTATGAAATTTGAGCTAAAATTTCCTCGTGTTAGCAATTGGCTTCACTTAACGTTTACTTAAGAATGAGATTCAAGACATACTTCTGAGGGAAACTACTACATACAGTATCAACACTCAAAGAATTGCAACAAATACCAAACTGAAATGAACAATGCCAGGTTGAGGAAGAACAAGCTGTAGCTTTCAAAATGATTGTGAGAAGAATATTTAAAAACAGGAGCCAGGTAGAGCTGGCAGCTCAAGAAATCACCCAAAGTGCAGATCATCATTCTCTTACTCCCTCTATGAAGGAACCAGATATCTGCTAGAAATATACCATAAGTACGATCCACATGTATGCCTGAGAATCTGTATCCGCTGCAGATATTTTGCAAAAAAGAACAACATAGATATTTTGGGTCGACTCTTATGTGAGTCCCAAAGAGAGTTTGCCTTGTTTCCTGGTAGCAAATAGGAAAACATAGCTAAAGGCTTTTTTTTAAAAAAAAACTTTCTTTCTGTTTCATTTAAATGAGAAATGTATGTGAAAATCAGTCAATGGGATGTATTATCTAAGGATCAAACCTTTCTTCTGTTGAACTTCATCAGGCAAAGGCTTCTGTTGAAATCATAATTTGGACTGATAATAGATAAATCTTCTTCAAAGTCCATATAATTTTCTTGCTATTTATTTGTCACTGCCTTTGTCTGGGATGTTTTTTGTTTAACTTCCCAGTCTAGTCTAAGGATTTCTGAAATCCCGATGTTGTTTCTGTCTTTCTTATACCATGGAAAAATACTGCTTTCTGTCTTTTTTCCCAGCAAACACAATTCATTTTAACCAAATTCAATTTTCACTTCCAAGGCTAGGACAGGAGCAGTTATTCCCAGAGGAAGACCACTTAAGCATAACTATAATCTTTTCATAAGCACAAATGAACTAGGAAAGAGGAGTTAGATCTACAGTTCTCAATAGGGTGGTCTTTGGAGGCACTAGATATAATCTCTCATTGTACATACCCAGCATAGCTTGTAGGCCCCATTGGGTTTGAGAAGACAGATCAGGCGACCAAACTAGCACTATCAGAAGTGTTATGGAAATTATAAGCTCTTGGTCAAGGAGCAGGAAAGCAGAATACTGTTTTCTGAAAATTGTTTACATATTACAATAATAGAATGGTTTGAGAATTCATGTTGATGAACTGAATCATTCCGTCTATCTGTAATTTGCACAAAGTGCTGTACTACATGTGACAGCAAGAGGGAGAAAAGACTGAAAGAAATGTAATGCACATTTGTGGGTGGCAGGAGTCTGAATGCCTGGTGTAAGTTTACAGATGGAATTGTTTAGAAAGGCACACTATCATCTTCTCAGAACCCCAAGGAAGTCCAGAATCCAGGAGAATATAGATTCAATTATGTAAAGAACACACAGGATATTATTAGCATCTAATTTCAAGGTCTACCACCAAAATAGTAGCTAAGGAGGTGGAAACTATCCTTCTAGAATTTAAGGCAGAAAGGCACTTCTGAGCATTTATTGAATTCAGCCTAGGAATTTCAGATCAGAACCCTAACTTTTTCTAACTCACATCCCAATTTAGAGAATAGATAACAGGGATTTATAATGTCTTGCTGATATATTGCAAATTGTTCTGAGCTGAACAATCTTGTGCTTATCTGTGATGGAGAAAACTTTTGGGAAACAACTGTTTTTTGTCCTGCTACAACTTAAGATAATTTCTGGGCAACAGTATAAATATTCTAGATTTGTATCTAACAATAGCCCCAATAAATGCTAAGTATTGTACACACTTAACATTTATTTTTGCAGAGCACAAAGTAAAGATTTGCCATGATGCATATCGGAATAAATGACAGGAAAAAAAATGAAAATTGCAGAGGAGAATGTGCTCCCTAAGGCTATACAGAGAGAGATAATTTCATCTGATGCCCCTTTCCTCTGGGTTAAATCCTAAGTGGTAATTAAAATAATAGTGTTCTTCTTGTTGAACCTGATTCCTGGCAATAACACAGAGGAAACCATGCTGTTTTCTTAAGCACAGTACAGAAAGAGTTTGCCATTGCCTTCTTCTGATCTATTCTACAGTCATGAGATTTCCTGGTGGTCACCTTTCCAAGCACTACTGAGGTCTGGCTGTTTGCTAAATGCTGCAGTTATGTTCTTCATAACTGCCATACAGAGGTCATAGTTGGCTTTGTTTATGTAAAAAAGGATCTCATATATGATAGAGTCATACAGGAGCATATTTTTCCACATGCACATTTTTATTTTTTATTTTAATTTAGTAAGACTTCAAATAAATTACAGATTTCCATATTGATACAGATTAAACATTATCAATATAAATAAAATAAAATGATTATTATAAAATATGATAGTTTTAGACCATCAGAACTATTTACATATTCTTCTTCTAAATCAGTTTTAACTATGTGTTCTGCGGATGTTTTAAAAATAGGAAGACTAAATTTAACAATGTCCAGGATTCAGAGATTAAAGAATGTAGGTGGCTTTGGCAGACTGGAAGAGAGAGAGGGACGGGCTCCTTGTTGAGAAACAGTTGTGGCTAAAAACCAGTTTAAGCACAAACTCTGTGGACTGTTATTTAGGGAACAGCTTCCTAACAAAAGGATGAGCTGGGGGAATCATACAATACTGACTAATGGACCCAAACAAGTGGTAAAAACTAAAATTTGTTACTACCGCTTCTGTGGGCATGGCTTGGTGGGGGTGGTGGTTAATGTGACTGGGTGGGCATGGCCAATTTTTTTTTCTTTTAAAACCATTTTTTCTACAACCTCTTCGGTGAAGAGGTTGTAAAAAAATGCTTTTAAAAGGCTCTGATGATCCCAGCTGAGTTGCCTGATCAGCAGAGGCTTTTTTTCTTTTAAAAGCCTCTGCCGATCAGGCAACTCAGCTTGGATCGTCAGAGGCTTTTAAAAGAAAAAAAAACCCTCTGCCATCCGGCAACTCAGCTTGGATCGTCAGAGGCATTTAAAAGAAAAAAAGCCTCTGCCGATCAGGCAACTCAGCTGGGATCATCATCTGATGATCCCTTTGACGATCCCAGCTGAGCCGCATGATCATCAGAGGCTTTTTTTTTTACTTTTAAAAGCATTTTTTTGGCTGAAGAGGTTGTAGAAAAAATGCTTTTAAAAGTTCAAAGAAAAACCCTGTGATGATTGTGTGGCTCAGGTGGGCATGGGAGGGGGGCAGGGATTTTTGCTACTGGTTCTCCGAACCATCTGCCTCCATCACTACCGGATTGGGCGATCCAGTCTGAACTGGGAGCATTTCACCCCTGACCCAAAACCACAACTCCTAGAAATTCAACCATCGAAATACAAACATGAAAGCATTTTAAATTCTGGCTCTGTCCTACCCAAAAGACAAAGTTTCCCTGGACAAGTTACTCAGAAACTAAAGTCTAAGCAGAACGTGCCTAAGGAAAGGGCCACAATGATAAATTAAAAATCTTTGTGGGCTGCAAAATCTGGAGTGCTGATCAGCTGTTCTGTGGCTAGTGGAGCAGAAAGGCTTGGAAGTACTCAGCAGCAGTGGCTGTAAATTTACTATTTTATTTATTGGTTAAAAAATAATCTCTGGTTGCAAAAAACTGCTTGGTGGATCTCATGTGATCCGCAAACTTGTTGCATGACTTTTCTGTTTGCACAATAGCATCAGGGAGAAAAAAATGTTTGTCATTGCTTCAGAACTGTGGAAATTCTTTCTTTGGAATATTTGAAGTCATTTGGGCAAACTAAGTTTCATGGCAATTATTCATGGCAATAATAATTTATTAAGCCAAGAATAAGCAGTGTAACGTAAAATACGTTCTCTTTTCCTCTTTGTGACTGCCTTAATACTTTAATCTTACCGTATTACTATTCAACATTATGAAAAACTACTAGCCATATCAAATTGGCTCAAAATCAATAGCGAACCATAATTATTTGTTTCAAATAAAAGAGACAACTGGTTTTTAAAAGTTCATGACTGCAATGTTAAATCCAGGAGCCAAAGAAAAGATTTTAAAGATCTAATTTTTTTTGGTCTTTTATACCATGAAGCCAAAACCACAGTGTCTTCTCCCTTTTAAGTGTAAATTTTAAATTTTTAATGTATTTTAAAATGATGGGTTTTTAAAATTATGGGTATTAATTCAGCCAAATTTATTTAATTCATTTAATTCGATTTTAAATTTTGTATATCTATGTGTTTTATTTCATGGCTGTGCACCGCCCTGAGTCCTTCGGGAGTAGGGCGATATAGAAATTCAATAAAATAAATAAAAATAAAAAATAAAAGGACCTATAAATCTGAGATTACCTTGTTTTTCAAATTATTACTTATGTTTTAATGTTCTGGGGGAGATTTAAACTTTTATGTTTTTTTTTAAAAAAAAGACTTTTAAAAGCATCAAATAAATAAATAAAACCAATAACTTGTTTATATTTAAAACCACAATATCTAAGGTAGCAGTCATACCAGTTAACATTATTGTATTATTTCTTTTATACTGTCAGACGCCTTGAGAGGTTTTGTAGCACCACAGATGGCCAAGGCAAATAAACAAATTATAACATTGACTAAGTTTTATCCAATGTCTCTAAAAGCATTTCAGAAGAAAAAAAATGACAATGGTTATTAATAAGCTTGTACAGGCCTTTGAGGTCTTTGCTCTCAAAGGACCCTCTTGAAA